CAAAGGCCTGTAATCCCAGCACTGGGGAGGCTGAAAACAGGAGGATCACTAGGAGTCTGAGAGCTATGTAATGAGGCCCTGTACCGAATACATAAATGAAAAAAAAAAAGAAAAAAAAAAGAACTGAACTTCTCTGAGTTGATTTCTTATATTAAGAGTAAAGACCCTACATTCTGCTCTGCCTGTCTTCCCAAGTTGGTCTGAGCATATCTGGATATAGTGTATGTGATATCTCTGAATAACATATCATAAAGCCATGAGGGAAGACTGAGATCCCACTTTCCTGAAATGAGTACGTGTCGTAACCTGGATTCCTGAAAGGGAAGGGCTGTGATAAAGTGGAATGCTTGTCTGTGAGGTATGCATTTTTATTTTTATGGTTTTTTTCTTCTCTCCATAGGGAATTAGAATAATGGAGATGCTGCTGAAGGAACAGTGTGGTGCCCCCTTAGCTGAATAACGAATCACCAGTGAGTAGCAGAAGCAAATCAGAATCATTTACTTGCGCCGTGTTTTCATGCTTATAGCATGGTATTATGTATCAGCCTCCCTGGGCTGTTCGTGCTGTACATATCCCAGTTATAGCCACAGAATGCTATTTTGCAGGTGTTGTACTATCTCTTCAGTGCCTTTATTTACTTAGTTCTTTGATTTTCAGAGCAGTTTTGTACTACGTGCTGGGTTACAACCACATTCAAATTGTTGAAACTGTTCAGCACAATCTGCCATGATTGGGTCTCTCAAAGTGGCATAGATTTGTAAAGATTGCAGCTCAAGATTAACTGAGGCTTAATTTTATTGTTCTGAGAACAATAAAAGGAGGAGTTTAAAGCTCTAAGTGGAGCAGGAAGGAAGAAAGGAACATATTGATTGGCCAGTGAAACAAATATATCTTATTAGTCATGCAGGTTGAACATCTCTAATCTGGAAACTTCAAAAATAAATACTCCAAAATCTGAAACATTTTGAGTGCTAATAGGATGCCACAAGTGGAAAATTTCATACCTGACTTACATGATAGGTGGTAGTTGAAACACTGGAACAAAAAAATACTGTATTTAAATATTATTTCAGGCTTCAAGTATAAAGTATATATGAAACAAAAGAACTTCATGCTTATACTTGGTCTCATTTCTAGAATGTCTCAGCATATATATAATCTATCTCCTTTTTCCATTAGAATGTGCTTTTAATTCATGATAATTGCATTCACCTTGGGGCAAATGTTAATGTAAAATATTGCATCTCAAATCATTTGTTTTACTCCCCTTTGTCCTCCTGGCTGTTCCATCTCCCCTGTCCCTAGATCCCTTTTGAATTCCATGAAGTCTCCCACCCTGTTTCTTGTTGCCTTTTAGTTTGCTCATAAAATATAGAAATGTTTTAAACTCTGAAAAAATATGACATCCAAAAACATTTCTGGTCCCAAAATTTTTCAGTAAGCGATACTCAACGTGTATCTATACTTTCACTGCTCAGAAGTGGCTGCCTGAGATGCTTTTATGAATGATTTTTAACCTTAGTAGTGATCCTTAGGTGCTGAGTAAAAACACCTTGAATTAATTAACAGTATACACTATGGACACAGGATGGAAACAGGTCACCTCTGATTTGGGGCAAGTAGGGTTGCATTAACAGAGGGAAATTATAAAGTCATTCTCCCCATTTTTAATTTCTATTGTCTACGTCAAGGAAATCATCTTTTATTGTTAAATAAAAAGACAAAGTTAAAAGAATACATACCAAGCTGAATGAATATAGTGGATTTACACCTTACCAAATTTATACGACTTAAGTTTTTATCATTTGAAGGAAGGTGAAAGTTTCGTAGAGCAAATATTGCCTTGAGTAATTCAGAATTAGCTTACATTGTCTTGCAATGCATCATGAGCTTTGAGAGTGTTGAACAGCAGCAGCAGCAACAATGAAAAAGCAAAAGAACACTCAACTATACCAGTGCCTTGGCATTCAAAACATGCTGGTCAGGGCTATGAGTAAACACCAGCTGGAGAATTATTGTATTTCTGCTTGTGTGCAGGTTGGAGTACCTTCTGATTAAGTGAAGTTTCTGTACACTTGCACATTAGTAGATGAAAATATTACAGGAAAAGTGCCGGGGAGATGGCTCAGTGGAATAAGCGCTTCTCTGGCAAGTGCAAGGGCCTGAGTTCAATCCCCAGTTCCACAAAAAAAAAAAAAAAAAGATTACTGGAAGGGCTGAATGAGATAATTTCCTTTCATACAGGCATGGTACATACAAGTGCTCATAAAATGTTGGAATTTAATATGTGGCACAATGAAAATATATAGTGAATATTTAAATTTAAAAATGTATTTCAGTACAAGACACATTGCCATTAAACTCTTTCAAAAAATTCCCCTTGCTTTGAACACATTTATCTCATTGTTCTTGCCACTCTCTGAAGCAGCTCTGGAAGTCCTCCGTGAGGGTCTTTATGATAAAGTATATAATGTTGCTATTTCTGTGTGCTATCCGATGAAAATATGGGCCTATAAAAACATTACAGGGAACTTAGGCAAATGCAGAGGCCAGGAGTTCGATCCCCTGGCCTCTGCTGTCCAGCCCTGCCCCCAGGGCGCACTAAAACAATTGAGACTGGGCGTGGTGGCATGTGCCTATAATCCCAGCTCTTGGGAGGCTGTAAACATGGGGATCACTGTGAGTCTGATCTAGGCAGTGAGACTCTGTACACCCTGTCCTAAATACAAAACAACAAAACACATTACAGGGAGTCCTCACCCACCTTATTCACCAGACTTGGCACCACTGTGCAACTTCTGACTCTTTCCCAAAGCCAAAATGACCATTAACGGTAAACATTTGGAATCATTTCAGGCCACTAAGGCCACTATGTAACAAATCAGATGAAGATTCTCCCAAGAAAGGACTTCCAGAACAGCTTCAGAAAGTGGCAAGAATGATAGGATAGGTACATTTGAAGCAAGGAAACATATTTTGAGGGTGATAAGTGACAATGACAATCTGTTACTTACTGTAATAGAATTGTAAAAAAAAAAAATATTTAGTCTGTTTTGATCAACATCTGTCCAATCCTTTAAAATTATAGAGCAGAACTTAGCCACATCTCCCTGCTTCTCTAGGCTGGCATATTTGTGAGGCTCAGTACTAGATTTCATCTTTCCTTGGGAGGGATCTAAAGTTAGTGTTGAATGAGGGGCCAGCACTTGCATAGTTTCTTCATTACTTTTCTCTTGTTGCTGAGACAAATACCCTTAGCTCAAACTTTGTAGAGGTTTCATCCATAATTGGCTGGCTCCAAAGCAGGATAGTGTGGTACGGAGGCAACAGTTCACGGCAGTAGAAGAAAGCAAAAGCAACAGGAGCAAAACTGGAGGAGAAACGCTCTTTCTCTCCCTTATTTTTCTTTTTTGTGGTACTGAGAGCTGGATTCAGGGCCTTATGCATGTTAGGCATGCTTTCTACCACTGAGCTACAGCCCTAGCCCTCCTTCCTTATATTGTAGGCAGGCTACCCACTCTAGGGCGGGTGCACCACTCACACCACCGCCATGCCTTCTTCCCCTTGAACAGTATGAGGATATTTATAAAGTGAGAACCCTGGCCCCCTGCTGAGTCATTTGGTTAAGCTTTTAAACTTCTCAAGTTGACACAATGAATGACATTTTAGAGACAAAAGGACAGTCCTTTGCAACCTAGGATGTAGGCCTGCTGAGTCACTCAGTTAAGCTTCTAGGCTTCTCAACTTCATACAATATACCAACCATTGCACATAGAAAAGGTGTATACTATTATTTTCAAATTTCAAAGTAGAGCTTTTGAAACTTAAACAAGATCAGAATCATCCAGAGGATCTGGTAAGCGTAGAATGGTGGGATCCCTCCCAGAGTTCTGATTCAGTGTCTTGGGTGGGCTCCTGTCCCTTTAGCTTCTTGGGTGATACACATGCTGAATCCTGGACCACACTTGGAGGATGATTTTGAATTAGTTCATAGATCTGGGGGATAAGGACAGATTTAGAGCTAGGGCACTGAGAAAGTTAATAGCTAAGTTTTTAAAATTGTCATGTATGTGTTGAGGTAACTTTAGATTAGTTGGATGAGTGATTTTCTTTTGATACCTTTTCCATCTTAGCATTCTGCCTTTTGTTTGACTTTTGCTTTGATTGTTTAAATGCTGACAGGCTCTAAGCTGGGACAAACACAAATTGAAAAACAGAGACGTCACTTATGCCAGTTGTGTTTTGAGTTAGTTTGGATTTGAAGTGTTATTAGTAAAGATGGTAAGCTAGCCACATTTACAGCATCACCTATGGTCCTAGATTATCTTTCCCTTTTTTTACTATGGTTGAAGGCAAAGTCATAAATTCAGGACTTTGCATTGTTTATTTTATTTATTTATTTATTTATTTATTTATTTATTTTTTCTGTTTTTAGGGAAGGTCCTACAGGATGTTTAAGGTCTCACTACTAGATTGGACTCCCAAGTGCTGGGATTACAGGTGTGCACCACCACACTCAGTCTCAGTCGCTTCTCAGATTGCCCCAGGGCTGGGACCAGCATGACAGGCCTGGGGATCAAACCCCTGGCCCCTGTGCCTGCTTGCAAGCGCTTTACGCATTGTTTACAAAAAGCAACTCTTCTCTCTTAAGAGAAGAATTTGAGGTCTAAATGCTAGTAGGAATTTAGTACAGGACAGTGGTATTTAATGCAGTGAATTCCATAGAATTCAAATTCAGAACTCATAACTAGTTCTCAAAGGAGCAAATGCAAAGAGTACTCAAGCACATAAATCTACAATTACTGTAAATCAGAGTGTATCACCGAGCCTCTGACTTCTCAAAAATCAGCTTCATTAAGGTATTATACACAGTTAAATCAACCAATTTTAAGTGTACAGTTGGTGAGTCTTGACACAAGTATATAGGAAAGCTTGAGGCTTTGAGGTTGCGGCTGTATTGCCACATTATCATTCCCTCACTACTGTCTTTTGACCATTTTTATAAAGTTTTTGAAGTGTCTTTTATAAAGTCTTGAAATGTTTCTGCTTTGATGGAACTTTCTGGTTTCTCAAAAGTAGCCCTATGGAAAGATGAGATTGTTACAGTTTAGTTTTATGAATAGTGAAATGCTACACTAAAAATGGGGATTCTATTGTTGGAGAATAGAGGTCAGAAAACTATAGCATGTAAGCTAAATCCAGACTGTGGTGTGCTTCTATAAAGCTTTATTAGAACACAGCTATGGTTCTGATGATGTTCAAAGCAATAGCAGCAGGGTTGAGTATTTGTGAGAGACCTTACAGCCTAAAATAGTAACTGTTCGATTGTTAAAGGAAAAGCCTATTGTCTCCTGGGTTGGGATTCTAAATTTGTTGTGATTTTTCTCCCCCCAGTACTTGGGATCAAGCCCAGGGTCGTACACATGTTAGACATGGAGTTTCCACTGAGCTTCATCATTTGCCCATTTAATTTAACTTAATTTTTTAGGAAAAGTCTCACTGAGATTCCCAGGCTGGCCTCCAACTTTGGATCCTCTTGCATTAGCTCCCCAGCAGGCATGGACCACTGTAGTTGACTTAGTATTGAAAAAAGGCACACCTTACCTCTGTTTTAAAGTTTATAGTTTGACATTTTATGTCCCTTGCATTAGTTCTAACATTATTACTTTGTGAAGATTTGGATGATGCTACTGTAAGACATAAATGAGTATTAAAATAACAACAGTGGAGTTAAAAATATGAGCAACGGTGGTCACTGAAATTGCTCATAAAGTTCTAGTGCATATTTACAATGGGCTAGTAATGGGCATTTTGTTAGCACATAAAGTGGTGCTATGGTGTGGCAATAATAAGGTGCTATTTGCAGTTTACTCAATATGCCAGAGCTGGGACTTTGTAATTCTCAGTTTTAAAAGATATTTTGTTGAATTTACATAAATGTGCATAAAGAAAGATTCTTTAATATTTTATGTCCCAAGCCATCTCAAATGTGCATAATTTAAAGTCACACATTTTGTAACCAGTTGGAATATGGTACCTACGACTAATGATAACTTCCTAGAATTCTCTGATCTGTATGTTTAAGTGGGCATTTGAAAATTTTTTATTTTTTTATTTATTTTTATTTTTATTTTTTTTAAATTTTTTATTTATTAGAGAGAGAGAGAGAGAGAGAGAGAGAGAGAGAGTGGTGTGTGTGTGTGTGGCCAGCTCAGCCCAGGGCAGGGCTGGCTGGCATGTGGTGCTGGGGGATCGAACCGCGGTCCCTGATGCTTTGCTAAGCTTGTTCTAAGTACGTGCTTTAGACCACTGAGCCATCTCTCCAGCCCGGCATTTGAAAATTAGAAAGCTTGGGAGTTGATTTTGTCTTGAGCCAACAAGGAGGCACATAAATTTCACTAACCAGTATGCTTGTGGTGTTGCTGCTGACACATGCATTTGATAGGTTTTTGATTTCCTGTCATTTTTGAATAAAATAAATAGCCCTGACATCTGTTTGTTCTTGCTGCAGGCAGTCGAGAGACTGGGCTTGGTGAGATTTGATAACATGGTAGAGTTTGTATCACATTGCAATGATTAAGGCTTCAATTTTAACTATATCTTATACTTTGAACCAGTTCCCTGGGTAGTTGGACTTAATAAAATGAGGTGCTTGCTTTGTTCGAACATCATTAAGAGGTAGGAATGCAATTTCTTCAAGAATTATCCATAGTGATAGAATTCAAGTGGCTCTCAGGAGTTGCTTTAGAAAAGAGGGCAAATAAGTATTGATTGGCAAGACATGTTTATTAGGTGATAAAGCCTGTTTGCTTTCTCTTGCAGGAAAGCTGTATTTGTGCCTGCTTTTTCCCCTTCTTTTTTCTTCGAAAAATCACTTCTTGGCTAAATCACAACATCAGCACCATTCCTGGAATGCAGGTTTGAGGATACAATGTCAGCAGTCTAAAGAAGAGGACACTACTCCATCAAGATGCAAACCAATACACTCCCGTTAGAACCTCTTCAGATAGTGGGGCTCATGAGAATGAGACCTTCTAGCTGGAGTTTTATGAAGTAGTCTGTTTACGATTTCACAAATAAAGGAAAAACCCATATAAGATGATGCCAGTCCTCCTCGGGGTGTCCTCCTGGTCATCTGAGATGCTCTCAGAGCAGCCAGGGGCAGGATGAGGTTCTGCCAGGGGCTGGTGCTCATGCCCATGTGTTATCAGCATCACTGTTTCAAGGATGCATGAGAAGATTCTGGAACAAATAAATTTGTTCACCTTGGTATGTGCCTCTAGGGGACCTGAACAGACAGGCTTGTATCAGCCCTGTGTTGAAACTAAGCTGTATAGTTAAGATTCTCAGAAATCAATAATTTATTTCTGTCCATAGATGACACATAACTTCTGTCCCTACAGCTTTTATCCTCTGGCACATCAACTGTGGCTTGGTCCTCTGAAGAGCAGGGATTGGAGAGTAGAGGTCAGGCTTTTGCCACAGCTCCTTCTAGCTTGTTCTGTGATGTGCAGTAGGTTGTCACCTGTCTTTCTAACTGGGAAAATCAGGACAGTGGGCACAGATCTTTCTGCAGTGGTTTTAGTTTGCAGAATGCAGGTTTGGAGTCAGACAGACAGACAGATGTGGGTTTGAATTCAAGCACTGCCATGTACTGTAAGTGATCTACACATAATTTCAGATCTTTCTGAAACTCATTTTAAAAGAGTTGTAAAGTATGGTGATGCGAAGAAATCTGTGCTTCCCAGTGCCTCGTAGAGGTCGGGTATATAGATTGTTATGATCAACTGTTTTGAAAATACAGCTTTCAACTGTAAGGGAAGGTGGTATTGCGTTTGAAAATTAGATGACAGGAGCTTGCATTTCTCATGATGGGAAGTATAAATGCACTGTACCTAGCAGAAAGCTCAGAGAGAGGTAATAATTTGGAATTCATCTTCTTAAGATAAAAATTGGTCCATTACTGGAAAGTCTTGAGGAAATTGTTCTTTTTTAATATTTGACAATTTTTCTACTTAGTGCACTGATGAATTTCAAAGCAACCTTACTTTCTCATACAAGCCTGCTACTGTGAGCCTTCCTTTATTGTATTTGAGCTATTTGTGCTGCCTGAGTTTTGTCTCTTGGGATAATTTCCTTTTATTTCCTTAGTGTTTTATTCCTTAGTTGTATTGGAGGGAAAAATGAATGGCAGAAATCAGAATATATTTTGACCGTCTTTTCCAGTTTATAAATGCATTCGGTAGTCTTTTGGAATAATAGCCTTTTCCCAAAAGTAAGAAGTGATGTGAATTGTCACGGAGTGAGAGGCAAAAACCTCGCCTTTGGAGACTGATGTTGCAACACGTGTACCTCTCATACTCAGCAACTTACATTCTCTCGTAAGGTCAGAGTTCTCACCATTGCTGTCCAGGAAGGAAGACTGTATGCTATCCTGATTGCAGGCCTAAGAACCCAGAATCTCTGGGGATGCAGCCCCAATATCGGTATTTTAAAAAACTCTCCCAGTGATTTTTAATGGACGGTTAAGGGGGAGAACTTGACAGCAAATTTCAGGTAATTTGTGGCCATTATTTAATTCTTCCTAACACTGACTAGGTAGGAAAGGATCTTTCTAGTGCGATTTTTAAAAATTAGAGATAGAGTGGGGCACAGAGAGGCCAAAGTTGTGCTTTGATTCCTGGAAGCCCTGGGGGCCAGGGCACATGCTTCGTAGCTGGTTTGAAGAGAGAAGCGGACTGGGGCTACTCCTGAGACCCCCCAGGGCACACTCCTGGCTGGCAGCCGCTGCTGCATTGTGTGGTCATGTGGCTGCTTTTTCTAGTTATGTAATTTTCCATGAAAAGACAAACTTTTTTTAATAAACATCTCTTAATTTTTATGTGTTGGCAAAAAGTTGGGAATTGTTTGAAACCTCCCACTGGCTACGTGTTTGCCAGCCTTTATGTTCAGCCTGTGTTTCTAAGTTGTTCCGGAGAGGACAAAACAGCCTCGCCAACTTTTAATAGATTTGCATTTTGTTATCTGGACATAGCTTCATTTGGCCTTTCTTCCCCAACTGCTTTTAGATGCGTTTTCTTCTGCATTCCCAACTAATCCTCTGGACTGGCATCCAACCCTTTTCCACAGTATTTTTTTCTCCTGCAGGAATTTATTGCATTAAGCTTCACATCCATGCTTTAGAAATCTTACAGACCTTTTAAAATTAATTAGGGAGAATGTTAGAGATTTTTTTTTAAAACAGGGTCTCACCATGAAGTTCAGGCTGGCTTTGAACTTGCTTATCTAGCCCAGATTGGCCTCAAACTCATGATGGTTCTCCTGCCTCAAACCTAAGTGCAGGGAATACAGGTGTGTGCCACCACACCAGGCAGCTTTTTAAGAATCACATGTGCTTTATATAGATTATCTATAGTGTGGTATAAGATCTGTCAACTCAGGGGGCAGTGTTTCTGGGAACACCAGGGACAGGGTGGGAAGGGTTAATGCATAGACTTGGCCAGGTAACTCCCTTTGGGGTTGCTGAGGCTGAAGTTCAAAGGGAAGGTGCTGGGGTAACTCTCAGAGCGCCAATGTACCAGGCACCTTAGGGAGGGGTGTGAAAATTCCGGTCCTTATGCCCTTTCCCTGGAATTCTGATGTATGCAGTTTCACATCAGATACAGGATCTGCATTTTGAAGCAAATCCTCAAGGGGATTTGTTTGCTTGGTTCCACAGACCACACTTTGAGCAACACTGACTTAGTGGAGGTCTTCTGCACCTCTGTGTCGCCTGTTACTTAAGGAGCTTTTACAGTTACTAGGGTTCGCTGATCGACAGTTGATCACTGAAGACATGATATCAAGTTGGTAGGCAGAGAGAAGCTGACTTAACTCATCCCTATCTGATTGAGATTCTTTCACCAGAGAAGGTGTTATGATTTCGGTCACATGTGGATTAGAAAGGTGCTTATTTCTTTTTTTATGAATTATGTGATATATTTTAAATTCATTATATATGTAATCATTTTCTACTTAATAGACATTCAGGGTGCAGGGTGAAAACAATTCAAGCTTATTTTAATTTGCATTTTTTAAAATTTATTTTGACCATTAAGTTGGAAGTATTTTGCAATTTAGTATGTATTGCCCTGCTTGTGTAAACATAATCTACTGAAGATAATTAAATCTTTTCAGTATCATCATTTATGTTTTTAGTTCTTATTTATTTATTTATATATAGTTTTTTTTTTTTTTTTTGAGACAGAGTTTTGTTATGCAGTTCAGGCTGGCCTTCAGCTCACCTTGTGGCCCATTTGGCCTCACACTCACAGCAGTCTTCCTGCCTCAGCCTCCCAAGTACTGGGATTACCTGTGTGCACCACTGTGCTTGGCTATGGTTTTTAATTCTTTTAGAAATTTTAATACTTTGTTAAGTCTCCTATACTGAATAGCCCCAAATGTGTTTGATCTTGTTTCCTTAAATGGTGTTTAGAGATTTTCTTTCTCTTCACTGTTACTTGTGATTTCTGAGCCTACATGTGAAAGCTTTCCTCTAATTTGCCACGGGATTGGGAAACCGTGCAACAGCACACTCAGTGGCAAATAGCAGTGAGCACCACCTAAGGAGGCTTTGAGAGGCCTCTGCTGTGCTCAAGGAGTGAACTGGGTTGCATTCATTTGTGACATTATTTTCGTGCCGCCCATACCTTCTTCTAGCTTATTTCCTGCTCTTCAACTGCAGCTGTCAGATCTATTACTTCCAGATAAGTGACATGCAGCTAGAAATCATTTCTCTTGCTATATAAGCTGTTGTTTCTTCTCAGTTGTGTTGGTGTTTTTACATATACTCTATTCCATAATGTGAAACAGAAGTAGATTAAAATTCAAATGAAAGTTTCTCAGGCCAGATTTTTATACAAGATAAAGAGTTTTAAATTCAGCATTTTTGTGGTTTAGAGCTATAAATGAGTTGTATGCGTATGAACTTCCATCCTGCAGTCATTCTGAAATAAAGATTTTACAACTAATATTTATGCGTATTCTGGTTTCTGGAGAACACCTCCTTTTTTCACATAGCTTGTGTTGTTTGTAGTACTGCCCTTGATGTGCTCCAGCCATCCAGGTGAGAACGTTCCATGTGATGTTGGTTTCCTCCTTCCAGAGGTGAGCTAATAAAATTTCTCCTGGCAGTAAGAAAAGATCATTGCTATTGGGTGACCTGCATGGGCCATGTCCTGATGGGTCAGAAGAGTGGAGTCCACTGAAAAGATAGACAGCAGTGTGAAACGAGGTGGTCCCAGAGGGGGAGAGTGAGAGTAGCTTCTTGTGAATCTGTGAGACTCAGCTGTGCTTTCTGACTTTGTTTCTGTGGGACTCAACTTTGTCCTTTTGTTTGTCTCCATTTTACTCATATTTGAAGGACTTTCTATGCCTTATTACATTACTAAACTGTCTTATCTCAGCCCATTAACAACCTTCTTTTGCTGGAGCTGGTCTGTGGGGATGATTTATGTTTAAGAGTAAGGTCTTTAGTTTAAGGAGCATTCATTAAGCACTTGCTGTGTGCAAAGAGAAAAGTAGGCATCTGGCCTCTCTGTCTCTCTATATTTCTCTCTCTCTGTCTCTTGGTCTCTGTCTCTGTCTCTGTCTGTCTGTCTCCCCCCCCCCCCCCTTGATCCAATGGGTTACTAGAAGGCTTTTGCCATCTTTGTACTGACAGATGGCAGTAGTGGGTACATATGGGGTGAGGACCAGATACGCCTACTCCCTTGAGTAAAACAAATCATAATTACTTACTAAGATGCAGGAAAAAAGTAGCTGTAGGATACACAATGAAGGGATCAGCACAAAAATGTATGGGTTGGTTCCAAAGCACATCAGAAGATGCACAGTTGAGAGTGATTGAAATCTGAATTAGTAAGGGGCGTGTCACTCCTTTTGGAAGTAACAGTTTCTCCTTTGGTCTACTATCATAGTCATAAAGCTGGAACTGGGCTACATGGGACCATTTCACCTGGCCTAGAGGTAACTTCACAGTGTACAGTGATTGCAGGGTACAGAACACCTAGGCATTAACTTTTTACCGTCAGGTCTTAGAGCATTGCATCTGGTCTGAGTACATCCCTGAGTTCATGGCTACAGTACTAGTTCAGTGCATCTCTGATGTTTCTGTGGCTATAGGATGGCATGCTAACTACTGTGGAATAATCCTACAAACCTTGGGACTTTAACGGAAGCTTTGGAGAAAATAAGGGAAGGAGAGAGAGAGAGAGAGAGCAATGAATGATGGGTACAGTGTCATGAGGATGCAGAATAGAAGTTAGCTCACGGCAACTTGTAGAAATGTAAAGTGCAGGATTTCATAAATACCTTAGCTGTCCTTTGGAACCATCTGGGGAGCTTTAAAAAGTGCTGATGCTTGGATCCCACTCCAAGAGATTCCTTGTGGTTTATTTGTCTGGGTGGCAATCCTTGCATCAAGATTGCATAAAACTCCCCAGATGGCTTTAATCCATGGGCAGTGATTCCCACCAGCTTCAGCATAATGTGCTTCTATCCATGGTAACCCTTCTGAAACTAGATGAGGGAGGGAACTTGAGCCAGAGACCTCTCTTATTTGGTGTGCTGCCTTTGGTCCCTCAGAAAGATATAATTCACTCTCTATGAAAAAAAAAAAAAAAGAAAACAGTTTCAGTATCTCCAATATTAATAGAAGAAAAAAGATGTTAAAAATACTCCACTATACGTTCCTATTTTGTTCTGACCAAAAATTTGAGTTGCATTTGTTGGATAAGGATCCCAAGCAGACAAAGGGTTTCAAGAATCCCAGACCCTTGCTTGTCTCCAAGGGTTAACCTGAGTAACTGAATGGCTGGACTTTTAAAGATGTAGCTCTTTGAGCTATGGACAGTCACGCTGTGCAAGAGGTGGTTGAGAGAAAATAGCATCTACTGTCCTGCTAAATTAAACTCTGTGGAGCTATTCTCTAGCATTCTCAGAGAAGGTTAGAGCCATTTCGTGCCTGCCATCTGTTAGGTTGCTGATAGATTCGTTACTTTTTTGTTTTGGTGCCAGCCCAAACTTTTAGATCCGATGACGAGGGAGAAAGTGATAACTGTTCAATCGCATGTTTTTGTTTCCTGTTTTGAACTTAGTATTTTCCTAAATTGAAAAATTCATCAATTGTTCAAACTTTGAAATTACCACATTGCCAATTCCTTTAGAGATTTAGGAGAATTTATTTTCTAGACTGAAGCCCCCTCTGTCATTTTTTTTTAGCTTAAGGTTGTGGTCATTAGTTTCATATTTTGAAGTCAAAATTGCTTTTATCAATCAGTTCAAGAAGGAAAAAAATGGTCTTCAGGATAAGAGCTTTACAAAAAGAGAAAACATAGAATCATGCTCATTGTTCCAGGTCATTTACAAAGCTGTCGATGAAACTGACTCCTTTGGTCTCAAAATAGGTTTCTGAATTATTTTCCCGTCAACATCAAAAGCTCTTATAACAAGAGACAAAAAGAATTCAATATGAATGCATGGCTCCAACTTACAGTTATTTTAATTGAAAAGGGATACAGGAAAAGTTAAAAAAAGAACAGGGAAAACTCTGTGAAGCCCATTCTTGTTTACAAATGACATTTCTGAGAACCCAAGGCTGTAGCATGGGAGTTGAATGTACTCATATTTTCCGTTTTTGATCTCCTTTATTCCAGACATCCTTGGAGACAGCAGGGAACGTGTTCATTGTAGGTTTTCTGCTTTTGTGTTATTGATGGGCTGTAAAGTCTTTGGACAAGTTGAAGTCACCTTCAAGGCATTAGATGGCTAAAATTTTTCATTACAGTTTTAAATTGGATTAAACAAATACGCATCAGATTACAGTTGGAGCCTTTCCAGTGTGGAAAGTAGTCTTTTTATATGTGTGAAGCTAGCAGAATAACTTGCTTCTTTAGGTGTTAATTGTTCTGTCAACCATTTCTTCTTGGAAAAAAATGTTACCGTGTTCTGGGGCATTATTAAAAGGAAAGGTTTTACAGATATGAATTGGGGAAGAGCAGACTCAAGGAGACACTTATTTTTCCTCTGATTTACCCTGAAACTTTTTCCTGAAGGGTGTCATGTGGGATTTTCAGGGTACTTAATTCCTTAGAGAACTTGGGTCATAACTATGAAGGGTTTGGGACACTTCTTGGAGCATTCATTTTTTTTTTTCCTTAAAAATTTGTGGGGGAGATGTTATTTATATTTAACAAAACCAGTAACTTAGCAGCATGT